GAGGGAGAAAGGAGGAAGGGACAGGGAGGGAGGGGAAGAGAGGGTAGGGTGCGGGGAAGAGAAGATGGGGCGTTGGGGCGATGGTTGTGGGGTTAGGGACTGGGAGGTGGGACAGGGAGAGAGGTCTTTTTCTTTTGATTTTTAGTTTTTAATTTATTTAGTATTTTATTTAACTAGACTGTTTTACCCCTATATTTGAAGGCAATATTGACAGAATGTAATGGTAGGACCAATTCACCAATTAATATAGAGTTGGTGGATAGTTTGAACAAATAATTTAGTTGAGGGACCAAAGTGCAACTCGGGTATAAATTTGAGGACCATTTAGTAAATAACCCTATATATTATATATATTATACATAGATTATATACGGGTTATTGACTGAAATGTTCCCTTAATTATTGCTCAAATTTCATTTTGGTCCATTAACAAAAAAATTTCATTTCAATAGTCCTTAAACTCTTCAATTAGTATCAAAACGGTCCTACAGTCAAAGTTTGTCAATTGTTCCATGAAATCGAGGGGCAAAATCGTCGCTCTCTCTCTCTCTTCTCTCTGCTCTCTATTCCCTCCCCGAGCCACCCCCAATGGCTACAAATCTTGATTTTGAAAATAAGAAGGCTGACCATCTTTATCTTGCCACATGTCCATTTAAGAAGCTATCAAATTTCTTCTCAAATGAGACAGAATGAATGTAGCTGAGAAAGCAATCCATATATTTAATTTGAATAATACTACTCTTACCACATTTTGTATACCACATTCTCATACCACCTTATATGGCAGATGAGGTGGACAACCACATCAATTAAATTAATTTAACATTTTCTTTTCTTTTATGATTTATTGACATTTTTTAATTGATGTGGTTGTCCACTTCATATGCCACATAAGGTGGTATGAGAATGTGGTATACAAATGTGGTAAGTGTAGCATTACTCATTTAATGTTGGTATCCATTATGGTTTTAAATGGCCTTGCCTCATACAAAATCTCTCTTCTAGGCTTGGGTATCCCAAAGCTTCGGATTACTGAGATTGCTAGGATTACTAGAATTGATCTTCCACAACTAACTCCAAGAAGACGAAGAAAGAGGGGACAAAGAGGTGGGCTGCACATACCCCACCCCCATAACCAAATCCCATTCCCACAATAAAACTTTTTATTTTATTTTAAATGAGAGCAAATGAATCAAAGAAAAGGTGGAGGCAGACGGAGAGGGAAGGGGAGGGGGGAGCCGGTGGTTAGGGGTTGGGATGGGGTGATATTTGGGTACAGTTTCTTTTTAGTTTAGTTTAGTTTTTATATTTTATATTTTAATTTATAGTTTCTTTTAGCTTCTTTTTAGTTTCGTTCGTTTTTAGGTGGTTTTCCCCGAAAAAAGATAGTTTTGCCCCTTCATTTCATGGAACAATTGATAGATTTTGACGATAGGACCGTTTTGATACTAAATGGAGAGTTGGATGACTATTGAAATGAAAAATTTGGTTCGTTGACCAAAATGAAACTCGAGCAATAATTGGGGGACCATTTCGGTCAAAAACTCATTA